GCGGGCCTGTCTCTGCTGCAGCTAAAGGCGAAACCAGGCCTGGGGCGGCCTGAGCCAGCGCCCCAGGGCCCCGCGGGGGTTCAGCGCTGAGGCCTAGGCCAGGCTTTGCTGAAACACCGCCCAGAGGCAGCTTTAAGGCAACGCTGGGTGGGTGCCCGGTGCCCGCCCCGGGGCGAGGCGCTGCAGCTGCATCCTGGGCGGCTCCTGCAGCACCGGCCCTGCCCCAGCCAGCCGGGCCGCACCGGGGCCACAGGGCCCCCCCCAGCTCCAGCCCCTTCCAGAAGGTTCTGCCCCATGGCCAGGCCAGCTCCCTGGGGGGCAGGGAGGGCAGGCAGCCGTCCCACCATTGCCAGCGCAGAGGGACGCCGGCCCCAGGGTGCGCACAGCCAGGAGCCCCCCCGGATCCTGGAGGGGGGCTGCCTCTGCCTCTGCCACTCTCACCAAGAGAAGATGAAGAGCAAGGAGCATCTTCCACTAACGCTGCTGGGAAAGGGGCCCTGGCTTTACTCGGGACCCACAGTTACTGACACTTAAACCCAGCTAAGCTGGGCCTGGAGCCAGCAGCTGTAGGAGCAAGTTGCTGATGGGGAGCAGGGTGGTGGGCTGGTGTTAGTCCCGGGGCAGAGGGGACACAAGAGATGGCAAAGGGCCCTGGAGCCACTGTCTTTGGTTTAGGTCGGGAGCAGGAAGGCAGTCTTAAGTTAAACCCTGGTCTACAGGCAGGCTGTCTCACAATGGCTCTACTCTGTACACAGTGGAGAAGAACACAGTTATGCTCTTGTGTATATTAATATCCTTAAAACTGGTTACAAACATTAAAAGAATATAAACAAGAGCCTGGAGTTACCAGGAAGCCACACGCAGCATCCCAGGACAGATGGACAGAGACTCATCCCTAATCGACTCATTCAGTGGGTAAGAGGGAAAGTCAAGCAGAGGCCGTGGTGCAAACTTGGCAACCACTCTCCGGAGCAACAAGAACCCAAATGTTCCCACTTAGCTTTTGTAAATAAAAAGATGAATAATAAATTAATCAGTAAAAATAATCTTAGATCACAGAAAACATCATCCTATTCGGAAGGGAACGATGGAAATTAAAAAAGGCACCACTCTAAATGTGTGCGGGCCACCTTTGCTCATGGCTCTCAGGTGATGTGCTACAGCTCCTTAGACCCCAGTGGCATTATACTGTAAGACAGCAGAGTCCTCTCCAGCACCACAACAAGGCGAATGTCCTACGTACTGGCACGGCGACAAAAAAAAAAGCCTGAAGCTATCGCCGTGCTGTAATAGCAGTGCACCTCAATTTTGGAACAAATCTGAACGTGTGTGTTTTCTTCTCCTCCTAAATTGCTAGCATCTCTCCATTTGAGAGAAAAAACTTAGCACCCAGACACTCATTTTATCTTCAGGAAGAAAACCCACCAAACCTTATGTTACCCAATGCACCGCCGCAAGCTGCAGCAGCGAGTGCACTGTAGTTTCACTGTGAAAAGAGACCGGAGGGGTTGTCCTGAAGGAGGTTGCAAACGGTCACTTTGCAGAGTGGTCAGTGGACTTTTAAACAGCGTGTGGGACTTGGAATCCCCTTTTCATTGCTCTACAGAACTGGCAGGAACTTCTTTTCCTCTGTATATAGCGAGTCAGCTTGACAATACTGAAGCCAAGGTAGAAAGTTATTTTGTTTTGCTCTGCCAAATCAGATCTTTCTGCTCTCAAAAATCAGGTGAAGCCAACACATTGCCATGTTTATATTTTAGCTCTGTAATATTTTAATTTGAAGCATTTGATTTCAAATGTTGTTACACACCTGAAAAAGCCACTTGGGTCACCTGGACCTTTCAGAACCCTCTTCCTGAGAGGTGGCTGTGGGAGAGCTGCTGCTGGCTCAGTGCAAACCAGACACACCGAGAAGAAACTCCCCATTTGCTTTGTCTGCTCGCAACAGGAAGAACAAGCCCCCAGTGCAAGACAGACTGGGACCTCGTATCATGGCAAACAATTTCTCAGCACAGGGTTTTCTGGGAGATTTTAAAAAACACTAGAGAACTAAACTAATGTGTGCACCTACCTCTGTCTTCAGGGAGCCTCCCTGGTGTCTAGAGTTTGGACAGTTGGAAAATGAGGCATTGGTCCTTGAAATGAGATACTGAGGGAACTGCTTGAAGCACGTACTTAAACTGGCCTCTTGGCTTACATAGTCTACAGGTGAGTTAGAGTGGATGTTCTCATCTGAGGTGACTAGAAGGCAGTGGGTGATGCTGGAGGTCCTCGCATGGAAGCAGCAGCTGCTGCAGAGATCGGGAATCTCCAGCTGTCCAAGAGACTGCACGGTTTATCCCCTCTCTTTCAGGGCATTTGATAAAACAGGATTGCCCCTTTGCCCTCCGTTCATCCACAGGCAAAGTAACTCGGTGTTAAAACAGTTCCCAAAACTGCATGTCACACTTCAGTGCTTCTGCTAATAGCTGCTGGAATTGCAAAGGAATTTTCATGGTCGCACTACAGTCAAATATATTTCTTTTTTGTTTGCATTCCTAAAGGATAACAGATACTGACCACAGATGGAGACAGGATGTCTGATTGATGTGCCTTCCTCATGTTCTCACAATTATACAAACTGCATGAGCAGGAGTCAAAAAAATAGGGTTTTTTTCTCTAACCCCATCAAGGGTCATAAAGATTTTTTTCATGCTCCCTTAAACATACATCTTACCGGAATCTTCAAGACACTCCTCCCATTATCAGTTCTTTATTTTAACTGGGGATTGAATTATTAAGGATTCAGTCTTCTGAGAACTGAAACTTTTTAGTATAAAAATCGTCAAGCTCCAAAGCTCAAAGCTGTCTCTGAAAACAGTGGCTCATTACTTGATGATTGTTTCTGATTTAAATGACCAGGTTCACTGGAAGGTCTCAATGCACATTTATCTAGCAGATGAATATAATTATCTCCAATTATAATTAAAAAAAGCAAAACTCTTAGTACAAGACAATCAGGAGGTCACAGTGAGTCGGAGCCACAACTGCAGACACGCTATGCTGTACAACAGTGCCTCCCAATCTTAAGTCTGATGTTTTCTTTTTGAAGGACATAAATGTTTCTGTTTCAAAACAATAGATTCCAAGAAATTTTATGCATAATAAGGCTAAAAATACTTTCCTGGGTCTCATAAGAAATTAACTCTTGCCCTTTTCTAAAAAGTTTGAAGTTCCTTAGCTGGTAGCAGCTATTTGAAAGGTTTGATACGCAGCGATGTGTCACGTAAGGCCAAGTTTCTGAAGGAAGGTGTAAGAGTTCCACACCAAGGCTGACTCCGGCAACTCTACAGCACCTACAGCTGGCGGCAAGGCAAAGAGTTCAGCAGATGTTTTGGGCTGTCACGCAACACCTACCAGCACCTCTGTGGTACAGCCTCTCTCACCTAAAGGCCTCTGCTCCTCCCAGCTCCTGCCCTCGTTGGATCGCTCAGCCTGGGCCCTCGGTAGCTGCACGTGAGCAGGCTGACAGTAAAGCATGAAAGCATGGAAATCCAGGGGATCTGTCCCTTCGATCATGGTTCTCTCATGCCTCTTCCTCCTCTTAATGACTGGGGAAACTCCCAGGACATATGAAGGTAAAGCATTATGTGACGGAAGGCTCAGCCCTTTCTGCCACGCGGTGCACACACCCGACACGATGGAGCCACTTGGGCCGCAGCCTCCGCGCTCAGTGCCGCTGCTCTGGTAGCACAGCCACAGCTGCCTCTCTCCCACGGCTTGACCCACGCACCCTGTGCCTGATCTGCAGCTCACCTCCTATTCCACATCATACAGACCCTTCCTGACACCGCAACCAGCATTCAAACGTTCTCCTTGCAGGCCCAGAAGCCGATGGTGGGAGCAGCACTTGCCATCAGTCGGTTCTGCCTCTTCTCTGCAAACAGTCCCACAGAATGTCACAGTCATGGAGGCTGGTGGATGAAGAGATGTCAGACAGCTGCCCTCAGGCACCAAGGCAGGATCACCTGTACTCCTGCAGCATGCCTGAGGGACGCTTCTCCATCTGTTCTCAAAGGCCTCCAGCAATCAACAACATCGATTATTAAGCCTAAAAATTTCTTCCAGTATTTCCGTGCCCTTACCACGAGGACAGCCTGAATCTCTCTCGCTAGCTCTTCATCACTTCTCGCCCTGTGTATCACTGAGACTATTCCCTTCCTCTTTCAAAAAGTCTGATATATTTAAGTCTGATATATTTAAGTGTGATATAGAATTTCTTCAGTCTGCTCTTTTCTAGGCTGACTCACTTCACTGTGCGCATTTTCTCGCTGGTTAAACATTACAAACCTCAGTTCCCTCTTGCTGCTCTCCCCTGAGCTCCTTCCCATCAGCCCACAGCTGGTTCCTGTGGTGCCAGGCTGGGGGCCCTGCCCGATGCTGGGAGAGCAGGGGGTCATTTCATGCATCTCAGGCCATTTTTCTGGTGTCTGTCCCAGGACATTTTGCTTTTCACACCAACATTATGACACTGCCAACCTGAACGCACACTGTGATACCAGGCAGTGCCCAAGCTCTTTTCTGAAAATTGCTATCCAGCCAGCAGTTCCCTGTCCCTTATCTGGGCTTCTTAACAGTTCCTGCGAGGTGTAGACCTTTCACCTATTGCATTGTGGATTTTTCATTTTGAACTCTAGCTCTGTTCTGCTGCCTCCCTGGATGGGGCTCCGTGCGGTGCCAGCGGCGGGGCTGCCGCCGTGCCAGGAAGCAGGGCTGGAACTCCACACGGCCTCGATCCAGCTCAGTGCCCGCCGGGTCCGGCAGCATTTCATCTGACAACAACTGGATTGGTTGCCAATGGAAAAATACAAAATTGGGCCCTGAAATCATGTAAACAGAAGAGACCAGCAGTTCATTTGGTATTTATCTACATACTATTAAATAAAACCCAAACGTTTTAGAATTTAGATAGTCTAAGACATACATTTAAAGATGCATTGCTTCCAGGTCACTCTCCCTGCCTACCTTTCCTTTACTAAAGAACTTTTTTGATTTATGTATTAGTATGCCTGTATGTTTTCTTTTTTGAAAGGAGGAACTTAATGTAGGTTCAGATAATTTATTTAGACTCTAACACTTCAGATCTTGGGGCAGGGAGAGTGTACCACCACAATGTTTTACATTTAACAATTTATTTTTTACTAAAAAACTTTTTTAAAAGTCTTAACTCAAAACTTTCCCAAATATATTGAGATACTTCTTCCCCAGCTCCCCACATCCCACAACCAAACTTAACTCACATTTTTGTCCACCACTGCATCACTAACTCTGGGAATGTTGTTTCCAAAACCGCTTAAATTCAAGCTGGTGACAAGAAAGCAGGCTGCAGAACCGGCAGGTATCTGACCTACTGGACCCCAGGAACTACTCACTCAATTACAAACCACTCAAAAACTGGGAAATTGGTTTGATGATTCTTCCTAATGCTCTCATCAGCATTTCAAACCTTTGTTGTGGATAAAAAGCATACACCATGTTTGCAGTGTTGATATTAAAAATAACTCATTTTATACATATTGTATTCATTAGAAATTTCAATTTAACTTCCAGGTTCTTCGACTCAACATAACTGTAAATTCTTCTGTCCTGTAAAATGAAGAAAATTACATTTTAAGAGGCGTGCAGTGCAAACCAAGGAAAGCAGAGATAGTGTATGACACTGTACAAGTCACTTACTTCTATCAAGAGAAGACAATGTAAACCATTAGTGCACAACCCACGATCCAGCCAACTGCGAGGAGGATGGGGACAACGAGACGTGAAAGTGGGACTTGGGCTGAAAGACAGAAGATGGGCTTTTTCAGAAAGGCCACACTGCTTTGATGTTGAGTTGACTAAAATGAAACACATCAAACCCGCCCTTATCGCAGAGCAAAGAGATACCTGTGAGCTTGGGCCACGTTATCTACGATTGCTATTTTTAACACGGAGTCACCACACCTTGGCAGGGCTTCTAATGAGAACCCGTAGCCAAAGCCCAAAGCGATTTCCACGCTCCGGCCTCTGCAATCAGAGAGGCACCAGGCTTAGCACTTCCAAAAGCAGCAGGGAACAGGGAGGAGACAGGCACGGTTCTGTCCTCAGGCTCCAGAGGTCAGCAGGGGAACATCTGCACCAGACTTTACGGATACGTGACCTGGCAAATCCAAGGTTCCATCCCTGACACGCACAGCACCTTCTACACGCCTCGCACGGTTGGCAAGGGCAGATCAAAGCACGGGGATTGTTTCAGGTGCGCCCGTTTAAGAGCGGCGTGCCAGGGGTGCTGGACGAGCTCCCACAGCCCAGAGGGATCCTTGCCAGCGGCGGGCGTCAGGGATTCAGAGCTCACCTCTGTGCTTTCCGGGCACGGCCCTGCCCTCTCCTGCCCTGCTGCTGCAGCCATACGGGGTAGCTAAGGTTGCTGTCGTTATCACTGCAGGGGTGTCCCCCACTCTCAAGTACGAAAATAACATGAGAGTGAACGTACCACCTGCCTGGCTGAGTCGGGGCAGGCACAAAGGTGTGACATCTTGCCTGTATTGCTCACTGATACCAGAAGCAGCTAAAAATGACTTGGAGACGTGTTGTCCAATGCAGGAGCATGCTGAAAGCAGGACCAGCACTTTATATAAATATGTTTCTGTGCAGCATCAGAATTTCAAAGACCCTTCTATCAGCTTCCTGCGAATAGCAGAGACTCAGCAGAAAGCAGCGTATCAGCCTCTGAGATCATATTACTCAGCAATATCTTACAACATTTTAAAGCACATCCTCACGCAGTTAAAAGATTTCCAGGTTTCTGAAGGGATTAATAAATAATGTAAAACTATTCACGACACCTTGCACAGTTTAGATCAAGCGGACAGACTTTGGGGGGATGCTCAATAATTTAAGGTTTTTCACGTTCCTCTTTAAAGCTATGCACAACACAAACATGTCTCACCGTGATACTGCATGGTGTATCTACCAGAGGGAAAAATAGAGCATGCAGAGATAGAAAATGTGCATGTGCTGCCAGAAAAACATAAACCAGATAAGCAATCATGCAGCAAAAAGACAAAATCCTGCTCTGAAACTGGTGTCCTTTTGCCACAGGGTAGTTCCTTACCTGTTTCATTTAAAGACTTTTAGTCCTTTGACACTTTGTAAGGCAAAGCTACTGCTGTTGGGAATCATTTCTCTTTACTTGCCGTTTTTACTAAAGGTTCTATTACAAATAAAGGGCTGGATCCTGCTGGGGCACGTGGAAGAGCTCTGACCGAGCTGAGTGGCCGTTGTGCCTGCTGGATCTGGTGTTTTGGTGTCTGAGATGGAGTTTAAACTCTGTCAGAGAGGAGAGGCAGGCTCGGCCCGGGGGGTCAGCAGGAACATTTGTCATGAGGCAGCAGGCAGCTGGCTCCGAGGGATAGAGTTTCTTGGGAGAGCTTGTGTTTCATAGTTTAAGAACAGAAATGACTGTGAGATCACTTGCTCTGATCTCCTCTGTCACAGTGCAGATACTCCAAACCTTGAGTTAGAGCAAAGAAACTGCTTGGAAGACACTATTTTATGCCCCGAGCAGGAGAGACTGAGGTGTGAGATACACACAGGCTCGGCTGGGTGAGACTTCTGAGCAGGTAAGCTCTTCCTAAGGCCTCAGAAGAAGGTGTCCCAATACTTAGTCCGAGGGAAAAAACTATCCCGAGTCTCCACCTGAGAATCGGTGTCACCCTCACCAAGGAGCAGCTCATGGTCCGCTTCCCGGCGTGAGGGGGAGACGGGCTGGGGAGGGACTAGCAGCCGAGGAAGAGAATACTTGTAAGCAACTCTGCTTTGGAAAGAAAGAAAATCTTTACTGACACCTGCAGGTAGCCAGCTAAAACCCTAAAACATGAGGTTTCATTATAAACCACCACTTAACATGAGTGCACGTGAAAGCAGAATTCCGAGGGAAATGTGGGTTATTGCAGTCACAAGTATTGCTTTCAAACAGAGCAAGGAAACAAAGCCTGGCTTCTGGGGTTTGAGCCAGAGCCTGTTGGAATAAAAAGGCCAATTCTGGATGGCAGTGAGAATAAATAAAGGAATCTTACTGTGACCTGTGTAAGCAAGCTGGCATTCTAGCTACAAATGACTTTCTTTTTCCCCTATTATAGTAATTTTTCTCGACTTCAAACATGACTTTATCTCAGAGCAGCAAATGCCCAGCACTTCTGCTGTGCTACAGCAAGGTTCCTCTGTGCATGATAAACAGAGGTAAAGGGAAGCTTTGTGCTTCTGCAGGTCGGACACCCGGGGAGTTGCCCACCGCGGGATGCCCAAGTACCACAGCGAAGCCAAGGATCCCTCAACTTGGATGCTCAGGCTTCCAAGCTAAATACAGCCTAGATACACTGATAAGCTTCATCTGATCACCATCATCCTTTTTTCTGGGCTTTACCTTTTATATGCAGAGCCATCAGCTGGCTTGGTTTTGCTGTCTGTAGTTGGTCAAAACTCCTACCAGCCACCATGAGAAAAATGATGCCTGTGGTCTCGCTGAGCTGCCTACAGCCCTGAAACGTCTGGGCCCAACTGCACTGACAAGGGCACCCCAAGATACCAGGTGGAAAAATGCCCACTTACTTTAAGCAGGCGGAGGCTTGGCAGGGAAAGGAGGGAACGTTTCCCTGCCCCAGTCTGTCAAGCTCAAACACGCAGTCTTACGTTCTCTCCTCCAAAACACCATGGAATTTCACAGAAGCTTTTTTTGATTTTTATCTCATATATGCTACACGTGCACACACACAACCGAACTGCTAACCCGTCACTGGGATGCCAGTTTGACCACCACACTGGTCAGTCGGACTAGGAGGGCACGCGTGGGCTTGCCCAGAGAACGCGGCTCCCAGCTGCCAGCCCCAACAGGCAAGTTCCTCGAGTTGCTGCCGTGCTGCCTGTAGAGGCTGTGTCACTCCAAAATCTGACTGAAGCCCAGAACCGCTGCGGACAGGCTGTTGTGTGGATGGCACTTGCCAGCTTCATCTCTGAAATCCGCGGGAACTCTGCGGTTATGTGCTTCAGCCAGGCTGCCCCACCATTCCTCATGGGAGGCTGGGCTGGATCCCTGACACCACACTCCTGCTGACACCCCCGGGCTGGGGCAGGGGCCAGCTTCATCATTATGGCCACGTTGTCTGTTTTTAAAAAAAAGGAATCCCAACAAAACACAAATAACAATACATATCCTACCAGTGCAAAATACGGTTAAGTACTAATTCCCGGGGCAATACCAGTATCAGTATAATTTCTGTGGATATCAATGAAAACTGTAATTAAGAAACAGCACTCAGTATCCTGTTGTATCTGAGCTTAGAAGAATCCCACTGTCTTCCTTAGGTATCAGTGGTAATGGTGCAAAAAAAGGAAAATAAAAGTCTTTAAGAAAATTTTACTCTAGGTATGAAGATGTATAAAAAAGCTCCTTTTACAAGGAAAAGTACTCCCTGAGTAACTGTGTACACAGATAACGCCATACTTAAACTTACAGTTGCTTCACCATCCAACCCTTTTGCAGCGAAGTAAATAGAAAACGACAATGAATATAAAATGCTTTTTTAGAAAATGCCTTTTCCCCTTGGAGAAAGTAGAAATGTACCATAATTAAAAGGTCGTTATTAAAATTTTGTTTGGCTCTGCCACTTGGGCTTTGTTGTGCTAAAACCTAAATTATTGTATGTTCACCTAGCGTCACGCTCAGCTTTCAGCTCTGCAGACAGTACATTTAAACCGCTGTCAAACCTAACTTACTTCACACAGTTCCATTTAGTCACCTTAGCATTGCAACTACAAAAAAACTAAAGAAAACAAAACTGGTAGGATTCAGAAATACAGGAGGAACTCAAGCTATCTTAAACTCATTGCTGTTAATAGAATTAGCTTTTAAACCGATCACATTTTCTTACTGGAAAGCAAAATATATAGCGTATCATACAAGAATAAAAATAACTGAGTATTTTCACATCATGCTGCTCAGAGTTATGAATTTTAAGAAGACACTGCTACACTCACCCTTAGCTGTGCATCTTACCTGGTTCTGCCATCCCCCCCTCTGTTAGTTTTATTGGCAAGTGTTAAGCTTTGCCTCTGTGGTTGTTCTTGTGCTCCTTTAAATAGAGCAATGTTTGGAACATGCTGCAGCTGCCTGGCGGACTGATGCCAGGTTTTGGCTACATGCATTCAATTGTCTAAAAAGGCAGGAGAGTTCAAGGGATTCAAGGTTACCTCTTCCTATTGCTGCAGCTGCACATGTTTCAGAGAAAACTGAATACAGAGGGGTCGTTTTTTTTGAAGAGGGAGAGGAACAAGGGTGAAAACTGCTTTATGGTCTGTTTACAGCCATGAAACACCGCACGGAAAGCTCCTGTAATATCTGTGTGCATCCACGTATTTAGAGCATGACAGGGATCCAGTTCATTCTCTTCTCTCATCCCTCTCGTACCAAAGAACCAAGCCAAGTCCTGTTCAGCAATACCTGTAGATGTATTTCTGTAGTTATTTCTTACTCGCCAAGCACCACCAGGTACCTTGTACTCCACAAAGCAGAGAGGTACGTTTAGCATCTTCTGCTCAAAGGTTACAGCGCGCAGCCACAGGTTTTCACCACCCAAGTGCGTAGCAGGTAACAAAATTCAAAGGAGGAACACTCCTAAAATAATCTGAGAATTATTTTGTCCTGAATGGGATAAATCATTCCAAACTGCAGTTTCTAGTTCAGAAGCGAGAAAACATGAAGTCATGTGCCAGATCTGAGCCAAAAGGACAAACTGCACACTAGCTTGTATCACATAAAAGGAGAGCTCTGTATAAAGATCCCCTGGCCACAGTTTTTGACCAATAAGCATAAGAAACCCAGTCAAAGTTCATTAGGGAAATGAAGTCCTGTACAGAGATTCAGAGGAACACACCAGTGCACCACACATTAGCAAAGAGCCCCATACCAAACGCATCTTCTCTGGGACAGGGGGACATTTTCTCTAACATTGAGCAAGCTCAGACATAATCCCATTGCAGAGCCGTGCCTAGACCCTCAATGAAACAGGGATTCTTCTCCTGTGTGTGTGGAATGGAAAAGGACACAAATTACTGTTCAAAAGCCAGTCCATGTAACAGGTGCACAGGACGTTTGGGAGAGATCTAATCTGGGTGTTTGTGCAGTTGGGAGGAATGGGCTGTGGGCTCCTAGAAGACAAAACAGTGCTCAGAAACACATCACGCAGATCTTCGAAAAGAGATTATCCCTTTCTTATGTGCTTGTTGATTAAAGATTAAATACTTATATAAGAAAATAAATTTCAGTTATCACCTTTCTTCAGAGCTGCTTCCTCTCTCACAACAGCTGTGGAGATCACGTCTTCCTTGGGGATATTATACCAGATGGCCCGAAGAAAAGGAATTAAGCCAAAGTTAGACTCTAGAGCACCAGGTGGAATAAGTACTGACTTTCCATACCAATATGATCTAACTTGTTCTAAAGCAGGTTCATAACTCAAGTATTTAATTTTTAAAGGACTAGAACCGGATAAGATGGAAACGCAATCCCCATCCCTACCAAGGCAGGGCCCGTTCCTGACCCCAGGAGCTGCTTTCTAGGGATCCCTTCCCAGGCCCTGCCCTCCCCGTGACAGCAGAGGCAGGGCAGGAGGGTGCAGACACATCTCCAGCGCTACACCTACAGAACAGCTGGCAGAGACAGCCTTCAAAATATCCACAGGAAATGCAATTAAACGTCTTGGTTATTTTTACAGGAATATTATTTTTTGTCCTAGATGCAAGAATGGAAATTGTGGGCCCGAGGCTACACATGACTTGCGTTCATCTGCAGAGTACTTTCATCTGGAATGAACAACAACAACAACAACAAAAAGAATGGCAGTGGAATATTTTAAATACAATTATTTGTATTGCTGTGATCAGTATCTTAGAAACCACGGTAACATACACCATGTGATTGAGCAGCATTCAACCCTGGCAAAACTTTACTGAAGACAGTTGTTTTACATCAGTGATCAGTTTAGCTTTGTGTAGATTGGTTTCACTGCATGCTATAAACAGTCCCCGCCTTTTGGTCTTTTGAGTTTGGCATGGATTCTATGATGACGATTACAGAAAAATAACTGAATCTAAGTCATGTCACCTAAGGAAGTTTTCATCAACTTCTGCACTCGATACCCTGACCAACCTGTTCCTCCATCAGTTTGTGCTCAGTCGCCTCGGTTCTGTTCCTGTTTGTACGACGAGGTACTTCGAAGCAGGTACTTTGAGGCATCATTTCCAGTTCTGCAGATGCAAAAGAAACATCGAGCTTTACTGTCTGCCCACTAACACCAGGTCCATACCAGTAAGACTCTGCTCGCTGAAGAATCAGACTCCCACTTCCTCTAACAGGAGCACAGGGCATAAAGGTTTTTTTGGGGGACCTGAAACTCCAGTTAACAGCAATCATGTGATGACCATCTTTTTCACAAATTTTATCATCACCACAAACCCAGCAGCATTTCTGAGATCTGCTGTACTTTGCACAATTTCCCAGTGATTGTGACAGCTCTGGCAGCGTCTCCAGACCTGCACGTACTTCCCAGTAAAGGCTCAGGCAGTCCCCTCAAAGGATCACGTTCATCTGCCCAGGGAAACCAGTCAAAGGACTTGCACTGGTTTCTAGAGATCAGTTTGATCAAATGGCTATCCGAACGTAATAACTGAAACGGCAAGTTCTCCGAGTACTGAAGTTTTCTGGCACTGGATATACCTACTATGTCCCCACTGCTGGCTTTTGCCAATCCCCTGCATTCTCAGGCAAGACAGTTCTTTAAAAAAGCTTGCCTTTCCCCAAGCACCACGTAAGGAAAGTGATTTCATTACTGCTTACCCCAAAATGGGTATACTCTTAAAATAAACCCTGGAGCTATATCACATTTTATTATGCCCTCCACAATTCAGCGTATCACATCATTTTGAGCCACGAGAATAAAATGCAAGCTTTACATTCTTTGCCTAGCTTTGCTATAAAGCAGACTTTTTGGGACAAGATCCAATTTACTGTAAAAAGAAATTTGATTCTGTTCTCTGCGTAATATTGGGGAAAAAGCTCTGAATTATTGAAAAACACACCTCTCTGATACAGTAACTTCATTGGCTGCATAGCTGTTCCCGTAAGAATCCTAGCGGGTTTGGTTCTCCTAATTATATATATACATCTGACCTAATGGAAATAATTCCTACCAGGAACCACGGACTCCTAACAGGACAATCCGACCTTCACAGATTGGGACCTTTCCAGGGCTAGTTGCCTTAAGCAAGGACAGAAGAGTCACTGCTGTTCACAACAGTTTTGCTAACTACTGCCCTGATTTAGCTGCGAGCACAGTAAGTATTGTCCTGCAAGTCTAAAGCATGAGGTTGAGGATATAAAAGTTGTAACTGCAGCAAATAATAGTGTAACAATATAGACATTATTTTAAACAACACATCTTCTGTTTGGAACAAAGGAATGAACTGCAGACGTAAATCCTACAATAGATCTCAGTCCAACAGCCAAAAAAAGGCAGAGGGACAGTTTCAAAATATTAAAACCAAGGAGAGTACACAATGCTTAAGAAAAAAAACTCAAGGGAATGATTCATGGCAAAGAGCATCTACTTCTTTGCCTGCGGAAGAACAATGCACAAGAAAAAACAATTCCCTCATTTTTATTTTTGTTTCAAATTACATTATAATTTTTCTATGTTTTTTCCCCTCTGTGCTCGTGCTGGAATGATGAAATACTCAATATTCAGAGTTAGATTTGCATAGTTAGTTGTTGTCAGAAATGAGATCTGGTTTTTAGCCTTCAGTTCACTGAGGTACTCCAACAGATTTGTCTCACTTAGAGTAGTCCCTTGACTTCACGTCTCATTAACTGCTCAAAGCTAGGAATGCGCTTTAAATGCTCCAAATGCCTTCAGTACATTAAATGAATCAGGGCCAAAATTAGGAGAAGGAACCGAGTTAGCCAGCAGGGCTGCAAGTCCTTCCGGAAGAGAAAGCAATTTTAAGGGGAAGAACAGTACTGATGTTTTAGAAAATCTTAAATTCTCTTCAGATCCATGTGGACTTTGCCAAAAAGAAAAAACCAATAATAAAACCCAACGCAGCAGAGGCTGCTGTTACGAATGCCGGTGCTCAGGAGCTCCTGCCTGACCGTTTCTGGGCCAACGCTTTGGCGAAGGGCTGGGAGAAGGCGTCCCTAGCTGCGCTCCCAGCGATCCCACCTCATGTTTCCGAGTGCGTTATTCCACTGATCGCTATCTTTTGGCTATTCCTTCCTCGCACAAAGGAGTTGTATGAGCCTGCCAGCCCCCGGGAGACCCCGGTGGAGGCGTTTAACCGCCTCTGCCCCAGGGCGGCCCGGGGCTGGGTGCTGCCGTGCCAGCGCCTTGGCCGCACCAAACGTTGGAGACGCAGCGTCGGCCCCCGAGTGCGGAGGGCGCCCGCGGCCGAGCGCTCACGGAAAGGTGACAGCCAGGGGGGCAATTCAAGCCGGAGTCCAATCCTAAAGGAAGCAAGGAAAATCAGACTCTAGCAGAAAGGTGTTTGCACGGCTCCGTAACAGGTGGACTGGCTACACAGGAGCTTTCCAGCGGGCAACCCAACGCCACCGGACACTGCCACAACTCGTTGGCAGTTTGTTCTCCTGAAGAGTAACGTGCACAGATCTAGCACCGGGAACTGGAACTAGAGCATCTCCACAGGCCTCAAGCCACCCGCTGTCCTGCGCCTGCACACAGAGGGGAGCAGGGTAAGCAGGAACACAGGCTCTGCTTGCTCGGAGATCAGAGCCGCAGACAAACGTCTCCGCTTCGTGGGCTTCGGGTTTCCTCTCCCGGAGTCGGTGATGCTTTCTTAGACGATGTGCGAGGGAAAGATTTAGCTATAAACAGTCACGTGTCACTTCTCTAAGAGTCAAACTCTTCCCCTTTTGTACCAGAGAGGATTTCCCCGCAGCACCGTCCCCTCCGAGGAACGCTGGGAACACATTTGCTGGGCTCCTGCTGCTGGCTCTGAGGGAGTTCATGTCTGATGTTTGAGCAGCAGCTGTCAGAACACCCCATTAAAATACCACCCACTCTGCAAAGAAAGTTGGCCCTATTTATTGTTTAGACGGCTAATACGTTCAGAGGACATTCTAATCTTCATAGTTTCACCCGTACCCAGATATCGAATATAAGAATGCCAAATTAATATTTTTGTTAGCCCTACTTCTAACATCCAAAAGCCTACATGCAGCCTTCAGTAGACTGGCAAAGAATCTGTAAGACTGAAAACTTTCTATATGAATCGTATAAATAACTGTAGGCTACACTGCTTTGTATTAAAGGGACATATCAACTCATCTCCACAAAAGGAATGCTCCAAGTAATAAAATCTTTACGGCTTTGTAATATTGGCACTAATTCTTTAAAAATCACATTTCTTCCTTTCAATTGAGCTTCTTCCTTTAAAAAAAAACAAAACCAACTGATTTACTAGCAAATAAAAGCCATGTTTATATGCCTTGAATTGTTTTATTGCTTTCCCATACTCTCTTGTGACCTGCAGACTAACATGTGGGAAAGTATCAGATTATTGCACTCACAAAATAGATATATGTGTGGAAAATTTGTCTAATGAGATTAATTTTATTAGTCACACCAATCTTAGCATTCAAAAGTTCCCTTAAAAATTGCTCGACATTGCTTCCACTCCCACATCACGAAAATAAAGACTGACTGATTGTTGATTTATTTGATAACTCTGCAACTGAAGACCTGAAAAATTCCATCTATTACGCTACTAAATATTTAATTCCACACACTATTTCCTAGGGTGCGGGGTATACGGGTCATCTCTCTTGGCAGAGCACTTCAGCTGAATGCTGAGATACCTGACAAACCCCCCCTGTAAAGATAACAGAGAAGCAGCACTATCAGCACAGACATCTACGTGCACAATGTCATTTCTGGATTAGTTCCCCACTGGCGTCTAAAAATAATGTGGAGAACGACGGGGGGTTTGTCTCTGTATAGTTTCATTTCAATGGCTGCTGAGTGACTGGTAAATACCTTTCTAGCTGGCACACGGATAATTGCTCTGAATAAATCTGCCTGACAAATAATTTATGAGAAACGGTCTCAGCTGGATTTTAGTGCGGGGCTTTGGAGGACTGGGAGGCTGCACTACAAAACCACTGCACACGAGGCAATGCCAGGTCTCTGACTTTAGTGGCTGAAGTCTCAACGTGCCCCGAAGCCTGACCAGGACTTCCAGCCTGTGCTGGGCAGCCTGTCTAGCCCACAGACCACTGCAGGCCCCACAGGGATGGCAGCACGTGAACAAAGACACTTAAGCACAGGTACCTGGAGACAGAAAGGAGCTCTGGAGCCCCGAATGACCGCGTGCTGCACACCTCTGCCTGCCGCTGAACTGAAGGGCGTGCAGGATGCTGAACACCTCCCAGGAACAGCTCAGCAACCAAAGCTGCCCAGCTCAGGGTCAGCGACAGGACAAGTTTCACATTTTCTTATGAAAACTTCCCTGAAGTTCTTCCTCTCCAGTGATTATTATTCAGGAAGGAAACCCAACCCATCACACACCATAAATCACCACGGGATTTATGACTTGGGAAATGTCAGCTTTCTGGAGGATGCATTTTATGATTTATACATTAGTGTAACCTGTTGGTGTGGCTTTTACTCTGACAGCTGAAGAAAAATTGGCATTTTCCTCATAATCTAAAGGCGTTTAATGTGTTGCTCAGATGTGCACCGAATCTTAACTCCTTGACGAAGCTGCTAAGCCCAAGTTAAAATTCCAGCTTTATCATGCTACCTTTTCCAATGTGATTTTTCTGCTGTCACAAAACCACGAAGTTAATTATTCCACTCTGTTTTTTCGGGTAACAAACTGTAACCTGTGTTATACCCTGTATGCAGCAGAAAGTTTAAGGCCTTGGCCTCGGCGGAGGCATGGGGAGGGGCGTTCGGCAGTGGCCAGGTATCAGAGCTGTAACCTTTTGCCACTGCTCCATTCTGCTGGCAAAAAGCCGAGAGGAGCCACCAGCCGCCCCCAACACAAGGGCAGACCCCGCAGCGCTCTGCAGCAGTTGTGGCCGTGACCTCACTTCAAGCAGCCCACTTGTGTCCCAGCCCCTACGTTCTCCAGCCTCCCACTGACACTGGGAGCTTCCTCTGCCTCCAGGTCTGCTGGAGGTGGGCTACCAGGCAAAAAGAAAAGGAGGCACACAATGCCATTTTCACTACTTTGGGGTATTTTTTTTTCGAATTCCCATCCTAAAGACCAGTAATTAATGGATAGTTGCAAGGACAGAGCAGAAATGAAGAACCCTATGTCTGACCTGCTTGGAGAAAGTGCTCTCCCTGCCCAGGCCAGCCTGGCTCCAGCCCCTCCTACGCCCAGGGGTGAAACCAGGCACGCACAACAGCTTTGGGGGCCTTCCCCCCCTCAGCACTGCCCAGCACAAGGGCAGAGAAGGAGGGAAGTGAACGGGATGAGCCACTGCCTGAGCTGCTCCCAGCTGATTCCTTCTCCTTCTGCCCAGTAGCTACGCTCCCCTCTTTCCCCAGCTTGTTACGGGACTATTCTTGCAGGTGAAGTTTCAAATTTAGTGCTCAGGGTATATTTTTACCATTTCAGACTCAAATGAGCAGGAAAAGCTTCCTTTGGAGGGTGGATGAGGTGGGAAAGCAGCAGTGCCAGGAGCACAAGGGGTGCTCCTATGAGGGTACCTAGAGCAGCCCCATAACTGGGGATGGTCGTTCTCAAGCCCTTGGGTTTTACCACGATGCCCTGGCTGCACCCAGAGATACAAACAGCTGGATATTAAATTACTCTTTGGGTTGTTCCCTTGTTCTAACTCCTGAAAAACAAATAACTGAACTGCTCAGCTGTGATGCCTGTTCCAGTTCTTGGTTCAGCCCTGAATTTCCTGGTTGAAAACAACTTCCTAGACTGAAGACACTGCATTCAAAAACAAATGCTGGCTTGTATGACTTCAGCTCATGTGCTGAGCAAAGTCATACACAGGCTGAAAACAGTTTTATTTGATCTTGCTGTGTTCTCTGAAAGAACACTGGATCATGCCAGCAAGGAATACAATGGCAAACCACAAACCGGCTAAA